CCCATCCACCGGACCCCGTCCTGCGCTTCACTTTGTTTAGGGAGGGGCTGCTCACTGCTCATTGCTCATTGCTCATCGCACACTGCTCAACGCTCATTGCCCTATATCCCACCCAGCCGCAGGACTCCACTGCCGCCCGCGCCCCGCCCCATCTGGCCGCTTGCGCGCCCCATCCCCCCTCGATGGGGCCCGCCCACACCGGGGCCTCCCCCCTCCCGCCCACTGCTTTCTCAACGGCCCCGAGCCGGGGCTGCCCTCATTGCATACATAGTGCGCCTTTCCCTGCTTTTCTAGTGACCTAGCGTTCCGCACTGCCGTTTGGCCAGCCCATGCTCCCGTACCGTTGCGTTTCTCCCCAATGCGCCATGCCACTTTGCCAGTCATACACACGTTTCGATGCGTGCCCTGTCAGCTGCTTGCGTTGCATGTCGCCTTGCTCCACCCCTGTTTTATTGCTTTCTCTGCTTTCGCCCGGTTCCCGTCCCGTTTCGGCGGGGAGTCTATGTTGCAAGCTAGTTCTTGCTTTACCAGACTTTAAGCCCACACAAGCTGCGCTTTCTGTGGCGTGGTGTCCTTGGGCACCACTGCTACTGACGGCCACCTTCGCATGTTCGAGCTGGTGCCACCGCCCAGCGCCGAGGACGTGCCGCCCGCCATGCTGGCAAACCCAGCTCTGGCTGACTTCACTACCCAGGGGGACGAGTGGTACTGCTGCCCTGCATGCATGAACGACCAGATGCGCGCCACACGCACTTCCTTTCTGACCACTGTTTCGGTGCACTACGGGCAGATGTTGTTCGCATGCGACCCGGCAGAAACGCAGCTGTTGGGCCTGCTTGACGTTAACTTAGGCTTGACACAGCGGTACAAGGGCTTCATCGAGGGGGCCTGCCAAAGCCACAGCTTGCTTGACGGGCCTCTGGTGCGGTGGGGGGATGCGCCAGCACCGGGTGCCGCACACGTGGCCGGCGCTGTGCAGGACCTGCTGGGCTGGAACTTGCAGCACAATCCACTGTTTCAGCGCCACGCCACGCTGCTGCTTATCAGAAGGCCGTCGTAGCGACACTTGCAGCCTTAGGAGGCGACCTCAGCAAGAGGGAGACTGCGGGCCACGTGGCCTTGCAGCACGGCTTCTCGCACGTCGCCTCGTTATCCGCATGAGCAGGCTCGTCATTTGGTACAGAGCGGGGGCGGCCGGCGGGGCTCACTAAATGACCCTTGTGCCGCCGGCGCCGCCGCCGGCGCCGCCGCCGTCACCACCACCGAGCGTGCAGCCCTGCTCGCCTCGCCCTGCCATGGCCGCTACTCGACGCAATTCCCTGCTTTCTGAACCATCTGAAGTCCTCCCACAGGAGTGCACTTCGCTTGCTTCCCATCTGAGCCTCTGCACACTGCTTTGCTGCCTTCACACCAGCGACGCCCGCCCAAGCCAGCTCAACAGCTCACCCCTAGTTGACCCACCAATTGCTCGCATGGCACCATACAATTCTTTGTTACTGGTCTTCCCAGGGCTCATCTACTGAGGAGATCCTGTGCACGGCACCGGTTGTGGGGGGCAGGTTCATTCATTCAGCACACAGACCGGCCGCCTCTTGCTCGAGGGCGGCCCACTTTGGCCTGGGCAGCCCGGGCCGCCCTCCCCCCCGGGCGCATGTTCGGTGTTGGAGGGGTGCGCCCAGCGATAGGGGGCCCCTGAAGGCATGCGCCGAGGCCGGGAAGCGTGGTTCGGCGCTGCTGCACGCTTGGCGACTTGAACAGAACCGCGTGCCGCCGAGCTGCGGCCGCAGTTTCCGGCCCACAGTCTACGGCCGCAGCCACGGGACTCGGCGGCACGGCGTTTGGGCCCAAGCTTGCTGCCGCCGCCGCCGTGCCCGGGGGGCAGCGCGGCGGCGGCGGCGGCACGCTGCGACGCCCCCGAGCCACCGAGCTGCGGCCGTAGCTTCCTGCCAGAAGCCCACGGCCACAGCCACGGGACTCGGCGGCACGGCGTTTCGGTCCACGGCTTGCTGCCGCCGCCGTCGCAGGGGTGCTGCCTGCGGCGGCGGCGGCACGGCGTTTGGGTCCACGGCTTGCTGCCGCTGCCGCCGCCGCAGGGGTGCTGCCTGCGGCGGCGGCGGTAGCGCACGTGGCAACCCCCCGCGCTTCCTTGCCTCCCATCCACCGGACCCCGTCCTGCGCCGGCACGCAGGCTGGCCACTTCAGTCGCCACCAAGCCGTGCCCATGATGCGAGCAAGCCAAACCAACAGCATTGGCTGCAGCTGCAGCATACCCGCCAGCAGCTGCATGGCTGCATCAGTAAGCAGGCCGGTGGGCTGCCCGTCGGGGCCTCCCTGCCGCAGGATGGCGCCGCCGGGCGGGTCGGGGGTGTCGCGCCCGATCCCCGCCAGCCGCAGCGCAGCGGAGTTGGCAAGCCCCATATGTGCGTCGTGTCGCACCAGCCAGGTCGGGGTGGTGGGAGTCACTGCGGCACCCGATGCAATGCAAGGCAGGCGGGCGGCGTGAATGTGCGGCAGCAGGGGCGCAATCATCAGCAGGCTGGGGCGCACCACCGCCCCAGCTCGCAGCTGGACGGGCTCCTGGCTCCTGCATGGCCCCACTCACTTTGGTCAATCCAGGTTGCGCTGGGCAGCTCGCCTCCCCAGCGGCTCTCGTCCCAGCCACCACCCAGCAGCCAGCCGCCGCTCGGGACGCGCGTGCTGGCTGCCGCCACCGCGGCGATGAACTGCTGCTTGCTGGCGGCTGGGCTGAGGTCCAGGCGGGACAGGCTGAGGCCTCCTGGTATCAAGTGCAGGTGGCTGTCAATGAGCCCGGGGATGACGTGTGCGCCCCGCAGATCAACCTCTTGTGCCGCGGCGGGTGCTCCATCCCGGCTGCCCACATAGGCAAAGCGCCCTGTGGCGGAGTCGACCGCAAACGCCTGGGCGTGCGGAGCAGCGGCCTCCCCGGTCCACACTCTGGCATTGGCATACAGGACCAGCGTGGGCGGGCTGCCGGTTGGGCCCAGCCCAGGCAGACGGTCACCATGTGGAGAGGGCAGCTCGCTGCTGAGACTGCCAAAGCCCTGCACAGCGGTGAGGATGGTTTGGCACAAGCTGTGAGCGGCACAGGCGGGCACCCGGCAGGGTCACACCGGCGGGGTGACGGCTGCCTGGCGCTGCGCTGGATCGTGCACTAATACCGTGCCACGCACCAGGGGGCAGGTAGCACCGCTGTCCTTGCTCCGCAGCAAGTGCCATGGCAGCGATGGCCACGCTATGGCCAAGGCCCCAGTCAGGATGCTGATGACTAGTGCGACAGTTCTGATCTGCATCGAGGCATGCATTGTGAGGAGCTCGTGGGGCAATGAGCCCTACTGCTGAGCTGTAAAGAATTCGAGTGAGAGCCGCACAGCGCGCAAACCAGGCATTGCGTCGCCGTCTGGCCCCTGCCATCACCCTCTGGTGCAGCTTTGTGCACGCTCTTGGGCCCCCGATCAGTTCTCATCTTCCTCCTTGCTCTGCCCTGCCCATCACTTGACGCCGTGTGTCATGAACTCTGAGGCGGCGAAGATGATCGAGGCGCGGCAGGAGGAGGTGCAGCGGCTTGGCGGGCTGGCGGCCTATCGACTGCAGGCGCTGCAAAACTTGAAGCTGAAGACGGTGATCAAGGTGAGCAGGGCGGCATGTGGACGCCAGGATTGCGATGGAGGCCCAGGCACGTCGCCGGCAGCGGAGGTGGCCACTGCGCCACCCGATTTGCCAGGAGTGTTTCATTTCTGTGCAGCCAGCTTACACTCCAATGGCTGCTTGCTGGTGCCCGCTTGCATCTCTTCCTTGCTGCAGGAGAGCCACGCATCGCCGGTGCATGCGCTGGCGGTCAACCACACCGACACGTCCATGGGCAACCTGTTTGCCACTGTGGGCAAGGACCAGGCGACCGTGTATGATGGGGAGCACATGGGGGACCACGTGGCGGTGGTGGTGCACTTCACAAATGCCCCCTCGGAGCACGCGCCCGGCGGGGAGCTGCAGGCCGCCGCCTGGCTGAGCGCGGCCGGGTGGAGCGAGCACCCTGCCGGTGACGCATGCCTGGCAGTGGCAGGTCGTGACGCCAACATATCAGGTACACCTGCACCTTTGCTGCTGTGCCTTGGGGTGTGGACTGCCACCTGTGGGAGGCTTGGAACCGCCAGGCAGCTGACAATGGGCGTATCCCCTGCTGCTGCTGGCTGTTGACACACGCTTTACCACCTGCCCCTTTGGCTCTCGGCACCTGTCTGACACACGCCTGCCACCACTCCTCCTCCCATGCAATCCACTGCAGTCCCCCCGCCTTCCCACACTCACATCCCTGACCAGCCATGGGCGGAGGCGGACCAATCAGCCCCATCGGGGCCGCAGGCCGTGCCTCGCAGTACAAGGGCGGCATGACGACCAGCGTGATGTTCATCGCAGTCGTGGCCGCCTCGGGTGGCCTGCTGTTCGGCTACGACCTGGTGAGGGACCGGGCGGGGCAGTGGTGTGGCGTCTCTGGGACCCCTCGGCCCGTTTGGGGCCCAGGGGGCACAGGCATCACGGTGCACGCAGCACGCCCCCCTCCCACACCTCCACCCACCTCCTGACCTCCCCCTGCTCCCCCCCGGCCCCTCGCTTTGCAGGGTGTGACGGGAGGCGTGGAGGCCTCGGACTCTTTCCTCTCCAAGTTCTTCCCGGGCACCTATGAGGCCAAGCAGGCCGCCGCGGACGACTACAACCCGTGAGCTTCGGGCGCCCCTGCGCCTGCATCCCAACGCAGCCCCGCGCCAGCGCTGTCCTCGCTGCTGCAGCGCGTGCCGGCACTCGCCCGCTGGGTGCTGGCCGGCGTCGATCTCCCTGGCTGGACTGACGTTCCGCACCCGCCTCACCCGGCCCACCCTGCAGGTACTGCATGTTTGACGACCAGCTGCTGGCCCTCTTCACCTCTTCCCTCTTCATCGCTGGCATGGTCATGGCGCCGGTGGCCTCTGTGGTGACCCGCAAGTGGGGCCGCAAGGTCACCATGCTCATGGGCGGGCTCTGGTGCGGGGCAGGCGGGCGCCCTGCCTGCCTGCCTGTCTGCCTGCCTGCCTGCCGCGCTGTGGCAGGCTTGAAGCGGCTGCTCGCATGCCAGCCTCGCCTGCCTGCCTCACGGAGAGCCCCGTCCCGCGCACCGCAGGTTCCTGCTGGGTTCCACCCTGAACGCCGCCGCCCAGAACCTGGCCATGCTCATCCTGGGCCGTATCTGCCTGGGCTTTGGCATCGGCTGCGCCAACCAGTCGGTACCGCTGTACCTCTCCGAGATGGCTCCCTCCAAGTACCGCGGCGGCTTGAACATGATGTGAGCCGGCTGTGTGTGGCTGTCGCTGATACAGGCCGTGGGCTGTTGCTGTTGGGCGCGGAGGGCATGGATGGATGTGGGGCTGGGAGTGCAGGAAAGGGGGGTGGAGGGAATCCTGCTTTGAGGATGTGCCACCACCAGCACCCCACCAGCCTGCCACCCCGCCTGCCAGCCAGCCTGCCTGCGTGCTGACGCGTGGCCCCTCGCTCTCCCTGGGCGCTCCGCCGGGTACCTTCCGCACAGGTTCCAGCTGGCTACCACCATCGGTATCCTGGTCGCCCAGCTCATCAACTACGCGGTACAGGACTGGGACGAGGGCTGGCGCCTGTCGCTGGGCCTGGGCGCCGTGCCCGCCTGCATCCTCACCCTGGGCAGCATCATCCTGCCCGACTCTCCCAACTCGCTGATTGAGCGCGGCAAGAACGAGCAGGGGCGCAAGGTGCTGGCCCGCATCCGCGGCACGCAGCAGGTGGATGCAGGTGCGGGGCGGGATGGGTGTAGCAGACAGAACAGGGGACGGCAGACTGGGCAGGGGCCAGGTGGCTCACCCCCGGGCTGCTGCATCGCGTGCGTGGGGTCACCGGGAGCCCGCGATCACGGCATCGCGCCGCTGCCTGCTCACCTCTGCTCACTTGGTTGCTTGCCGATCATTGTGCTCGGCGGTGCGCCCGTCTGTGCCACACGCTCGCACGCAACACACACACAGCGTCTTGCGCACCCCCTGCAGAGTACGAGGACATCTGCGAAGCTGCTGCCAGCGCCACCAAGGTCACCCACGCGCAGGCGTGGCGCAACCTGTTCCGCCGCCACTACCGCCCCTCGCTGGTGCTGGCCACCTGGATCCCCACCTTCCAACAGTGGACGGGCATGAACGCGGTGGGTGGGGGAGGCGCAGCAGGGGCCTGAACGGCAACGCAGCCTGGCCGACAGCGCAGCTTGGGCTGCATTTGGCGTCAGGGCAGCGCGGGGCGGGTGCAGGGGCCTTGTCCGAAGGCCGCTCTTGCCCGCTCGCTCACGCTGCTCACGCCCTCTTTGTGTGCTTTCTTCCCTCCCTCCCCCCCTCCCTCTTAGATCATGTTCTACGTGCCCATCCTCTTCTCCTCCCTGGGCACCGGCCAAAAGGTGAGCCAGCGAGGGTGCAGCATCAGATGAAGCTGGGTGGGACAGCCAGATGCCCAGGCAGCCCGCCACACACCACAACCTGAGCGCCTCTGCGTTCTTTTTGCGCTCCCTCCGTCCCTCCCTGACCCCTGCCTCCCTCCCTCTGCAGGGCGCCCTGCTGAACGCTGTCATCATCGCCGGCGTCAACCTCATCTCCACCTTCGTTGCCATCCTGCTGGTTGACAAGGCGGGCCGCCGCAAGCTGTTCCTGTCGGGCGGCCTCCAGATGTTCACGGCCCAGGTGCGCCGCCCGACAGCGCTCGCCATCCAGCTCCTCTCCTTGAATCCTGAGCATATGCCGCAGATGCCAGGGCCCCGCACCAAGGCCTCGCATGGCGGCTCCATTCCCGCCGACCCTCCGCTCGCCTCCGATGCCCACACTCGCCCGTCTCACGCATGCCCGCCGTCTCCCCGCCGTGCCTTCCGTGCCTGGCAGATCGCCGTGGGCATCCTGCTGGGTGTCTCTTTCTCCACCTACAACACCTCCAACCTGCCCGAGTCGATCACCTACGTGGCACTGGTGCTGATATGCATCTTTGTGGCCGGCTTTGCCTACTCCTGGGGGCCCCTGACCTGGCTGGTGCCCTCAGAGATCCAGACCCTGGAGACGCGCTCCGCAGGCTTCTCCCTCTCGGTATCAATGAACTTTCTGTTCAGGTGGGCGGCGCACCTGGCTAACTGGACGGCCAACTGGATGGCTGTTTGTTGGTGGGGCATGTGTGGTGGGTGGAGGGCGTGGGCAGCTCCTCGAGGGACCGCGGCTGCCCACGCGGCTGCCAGCATGAGCCACCTGCGCGCGCTTTACACGCACCAGCCTGCCGCTGCCGACTTTCCCATCTCATCCCGCCCCTCCACGCCCCCACACGTGCCCCCTGCAGCTTTGTGCTGGGCCAGTGCTTCCTCACCATGCTGTGCTCCATGGAGTATGGCGTCTTCCTTTTCTTCGCTGCCATGGTGAGCCTCTGCCGCCGCCTCTACTTTGGCCTGCCAGCTGTGGACATGTGCCCAACACGCGCGCTTCTCTCTGCCGCCGCTGGGCCGTGGACGAGCATATGGCGGCATCGCTGACCCCGGCCTGGCTGTCCTTGCTGCCCTGCCCGCACCCCACAGGTCGCCATCATGACGGCCTTTGTGTTTGTGCTGGTACCGGAGACCAAGGGTGTGCCCATGGAGGAGATCTATACTGTGTACTGCGAGCACAAGGTGTGGGGCAAGGTGATTGGGCCCGAGGCAGTGGAGGCCACCATGGCTCTCGCCGCCACCAACTCGGGGTCCATGGCGCTGGCGGCGGCCGAGATGGCGCTGGCCAAGCCCTCTCCCAAGTTCTCGCACTCAACCACCAAGTCCACGCCCCGGGGCTCCGAGGACGCCGCCCCCGATGCCGCAGCCGCCGACGCGCTGCCGGTCTCCAAGGAGTGAGCCGGTGGTGCCAGTGCTGGCGGTACCTGACCCACGCGCCAGCCACCAACGCCGCCATCCGCGCGGCGCCGCAGCCCAAACCCAACGCCTCAAAAGTACGATGCATGAATTTTCGCCGCTGCAAGGCATGCACCCTGCACTCCCCTCCCCCGTTTTCCAAACCACCACTACGGCCGGCGGCACCGCTGTACTGCGACCCCCGTTTTTGCCTGTGCCGCCGCCATCCCGTTGCGCTACGAATCCACACATTTTCGATCGGCCCGCCCTCTGCGCACTGGAACATGTTCCTCCCCTCCGTCCGTGGGCGGCACCCGCCGCAAGGAGCATTTTCTCGCCTCCCCGATTTTCTAACTTGAGCTATGCCGATCTATAGCACTGCACTACTCCCATCCCGCCTCTCAGCTCCCCCTCCTCTTCATAGTTCACCTTCTCCAACCACTCTGCAGGCCTCAAAAACCAAACACAGATCCTGGTGACTGCTTCACGTGTGAACAACACATCTCAACAGGCTGAACGCAACAGCCCAGCCGAGAGCAGCACAGGCAGCCGCATGCTACGCAGCAGAGGGAAGCAACAGGGGCGGGGCCGCCCGCTGCGCGGTCATTGGTCGCTCGCTGGCGTGCCTGTCCTGCTGTGCGGGTGCCCTTGTAACACCCGCTGCCACGACTGCAGCCATGGCAGGATCGCCGGCAAGTCCACATTTGCCAACTCCAGCGCAAGCACCTCCCGCAGCACCTGCCACTGCCGCGCCTGGCCAGGCCACAACAGCAGCCCCACAAAGTCAGCCGCCGCCGCGCTGGCTCCTGCTTGCCGGTGGCCGGCAGGTGCTGGCGCTGGTGATGGAGAGGCAGGGCCCATGCTGCCGGCATCATCCGCCGCCGTGCCTGCCTCCAGCAGCTGCTGCAGGGGCAGCTGCTGGAGGCAGAAGAGGACCCAAGCCGGTGCATCCAGCACCAGCTGCCAGGCCTGCGCCTGCCTCTGCCGGCCAGCTGCCAGGCGCTGCCTCTGCTGCTCGCATGAAGCATGATCCCACGCATGCACAGGCTGGGCATCGCTGCCGTCCTGCTGCTGCTGCTGCCGCTGTGCCAGCGGCAGGCCACTGTCTGACGGCGCTCCGCTTGCGGCAGCAATGTAGGCCCGCAGCAGCGCCACTGCCTGATCCAGCCCGGCGGCAGACGGCGGCTGTGTGTGCAGCAGGGCTGCCGCGGGGACCAGGTCAGCAGGGTACAGCACCCGCAGCTCTGCCGGCAGCTGCCCGTCCCTCTCCAGCTGCTGCCCACGTGCGCCTGCTGCAGCCCGCAGCAGGAGCAGCAGCAGGCGCCAGGCCACCGGGCTGCCGCTGGCCGCCAGCCACCCGTGGAGCGTCTGGCGCATCGCCAGGTGCAGGGCAGGGTGGCGGGCCGCCGCCGCCGCCGTGGCTGCCCAGTGCGGCTGGCGCGCAAGCACCTGCTGCAACGCGGCCCAGGCGTCTGTGCCTTCTGGAGCGTCGCCAGCCTGCTGCGCTTGCTGCTCCTGAAGCTGGGTGGCGGCCTGCAGGATCTCCGCCAGAGCCTGCTGCAGGGCCTGCAGGGCGGCCAGGAGGAGCCAGCATGAATGGGCGGACGGGCAGCACAGATGCGCCTTGCAGGATGAGGTGTATGGCGGCTATCGGCAGCGACACCGGGTTTGCATATTGCGATAAGCGCAGAAACCTGCAGACGCAGAGCATGGGTACCACCTCTCACCGCGGGCTCTAGCATCCAGTAGGCCGCCCAGCCCGCCTGTGTCAGCTGCAGGCTCGGCTCCTGCTGTGTCGCATGCTGCTCCGCAGGCGGCGGCAGCTGGCGCAGCAGCCACAGCAGCTGCTGCACCGCGGCATGCAACGGGCTGGGATCGCCGCTGCACGCCTGCCAGGGGGGCGTGCCGACTGCCGCCAGCAGCAGGCTGTCCAGCGGCGGCAGGTGGGCACAGCTGGCGTCAGCAGCCGCTGGCCCATGCGCCCGTTGCTCCGCTCCGCTGCTGGTGATTGGAGGGCTGCTAGGCTGCAGGGCCTGAGTCGTACGCAGCGCCAGACCGGTCTGGGCTGCCTGCCAGTCGTGGGTGCTGAATCCCAGCTGCCGGACCATCCGCGCCAGCTCCTCATGCCTAGCACCGCCCTGCTCCTGAGGAGCCGCGCCCTGGCGGTCGGCGGCAGGCGTGGACGGCGGCACCGGCGAGGCAGGCGCAAGGCCCTGCTGCAGCACCCGTAGCAGCTGCTGTGAGCTGCGCTTCAGGCCTGCCGCTGCATCTGGTGGCGCGCCGGACGGCAGGCGCAGCTGTGCTGCCCTCAGCGCGCTGAGCAGCGACAGCGCGGTGTCGGAGGCGGTGCGGCTGGCTGCCGGGTACAGCCGGGTGGCGGCCTGCTGCAGGAGGCTGGCCAGCGCAGTCACCTGCTGCTCAACCTGCATGGCAGTGGGGGTTGAAGGGAGGTGGAGGAGTGGAGTGTGCAGACAATAAGCAAGTGATCAGAGTTAGGCGCACACGCCCCAGCTTGCCTGATCCATCGTTTCCGTTGACCCATGATCCAGGCGGCGCAGCAGAAAGGTGCAGCGCTCCGTCAAGCCGCTCAGCATCGCCATCTCTGCCGCTCCAAGTAGCGGGAACGCCTCTCTGAGATCTCATGCACGGCGTGTGTAGACGCAGAAAGGCGCCCTGAGAAGCGTGGTTTTTCAGGGACAGCCATTGGCGCCAGGCGGCGCAGCGGTCTCAGCGCCGTAATGCAACGATTGGGCTTGAAGAACTACCACACTCGACTAGCCTAAGAATGGCTTACAATGGTGTGGATATAAAGGTAACTCTGATACTGTGATAAAACTGCAGCACGCACCCCGGCAGACAGGAGCACAGCCACCCACAGCCAGGCACGGGTGTGGTGCTCCTGTTGCTGCTGGAAGGGCAGCTACCTAAACCATCCGCGCAGTAGACCGAATGTAGCAGCAAAACAAGTTGTGCCGAAGCAGAAGCAGTCCATTCGTAGAAACAATCAGGGAGTCAAGGTCGAGTCATTCAATCAGCTGGAGGTTGTGGGTTCTTCAGCAACTGTTGGTGGCAGAGTGAGCGCGGGCGCCAGCCCCACCCTTCTGCTGCCAGGCACGGCCCCGCTGCTGCTGTTGGCGGCGCCAAAGCTGCCACCGCTGGCATCCGCCACGCCCGACAGCTCGCCGCAAAAGCCGCTGCCCACCGCCCCGGAGCTGAAGCCAGTGAGGACGGTGCTGGCGCTGTCGCCAGGCACACTGTCGCCAGGCACACTGGGCATGCTGCCGGACTGAAAGCCAGACCCTTGGTACGCTGCTGCTTTCAGCGAGGCCGGCAGGGACAAGGTCGACTGCCGCGTGGAGAAGGCTGCCGAGGGCCGCAGGGAGAGCACCAGCGACGTGTGGGCGGCCAGCGAGGTGGTGGTGCTGCGGGCCAGGCCCTGCTTCGCCGGCCGCCACCTCCCCTCGATGAAGGCAATCTCAATCACGCTGCAGACCAGAGGAGCCAGGCGCAAAAACGATAGGCAGATGGGCGGTGGCCAAGCCCTAGCCCTCCCACCTCCCGCCATTCCGCACTCTTCTTACTTGAGGTCCTCGTTGCTGGCATAGTCCACCCGGCTGTGCTTCACGTAGCTCATGGGCAAGGAGAAGACGAGGTAGAAAGCCAGGGCGCCGCCGTAGAAGATCCCAATATTCCAGTACCCGCTATTGGGCAGCGCCGCCACACTGCAGCCAGCCAGGGCAGGGAGGGCAGGGAGGCGGCAATTGATGCGCCGTGCACTTGAGATACTGGACAGCGATTCTGTGCAGCGCGACCCGCGTGGCGTGCCCAGCCAGCCCGCGCAGAAAGCGCCGGGCGGCGGCTTGCCTGAAGACGAGCAGCAGCAGCGCGAGGGAGGGCAACCAGGGCATCATCCAGAAGGGGATGCGCCAGCCCGCTGGTTCGTATTCCAGGGGGCACCAGAACTGGAGCGACAGCGTGACCAGCGCCCAGCCTATAAGGAACCACTCCTGCGACATGGGGAAGAGGGTTGGCATATGCTGTCATCACCCCAGCCGGGTTGCCACACCAACAGAAAGCCAGGCAAGCAACCCAGCGGCCGTACCGGCCCGTCGGTGTGCTGCGGTTCCCCGGTGCCAGACTTGCATTCCTCCTCGGGCGGGAAGATGGGGGCATCTGGGATCACTACGGCATTGGCCTGGTAGAAAGCGGCTAGGGCTGCAGGCAGCGGAGCAGGTGGCTGAGGTTGCGCGGGTGTGGAGTGCTGGCGGTTGTGGCATGGCTGTGCGGAGAGGTCGTGCCGCTGGACGGAGACGGAGCAGGTGCACAGCCAGGGAGTGTGCCGGCAGTCTGGCATGCTGCGGCCGTTGCTGCACCGCTTGAAGATGTGGCCCCGGCAAGCACCGGCACCCACCTACGCAGATCGCATTAAGCACTCCTAGGTGCGTCCAAACCAGGATCCGGCGCGCCCGCAACGACAAGTGCAGGTGCCGCCGCCACGGCATGGTCCAATGGCTGTCGCTCCTGGCCACGGTCTCTATCGCCCCGTGCCTGCAACTCAGAATGGCGTGGCCATGAGCGTCGAGAAGGAGCGCCCACGGCTGACAGCAAACCATGCCACCACTGGGTGCTCATCTCAGCCCCGCTGCCGCAACCTGCTGAGTTGCCAGCGCCTCGGGCCGCTGTGGCCTGCTGCGCCATCCCCCCCAGCAAGCCACCAAGCCGAATAAGGCCACCGAGGCCTCCACCCACCTCGTGGCCCGCACTTGCACGTCGGGGACGTAGCGGCGGTACAGCATGGCGTTGCACACCAGCCACAGCGCCATGAGCGTGCCAAACGACACTAGCGGCTGCAGGTTGTTGTTGTCTACCACCATGCCAGACACGGCTGCAGCGGTGTACAGGGCAGCGCAGCGGGGAGCGCCGCAGTGCACCTCAGCACATCGGGGTGGGGCACAGAGCGGGAGCAGGAGGGTGTGCATGCGGAGGAGCAGGGGAGCAGAGAGGCAGCCATGCAGCCTGCCACACAACACTAGGAATCACCACTGTCGCGTCCACCACCAAATCCACTCTTCTGATTCACAGCGCAGGCTCTCACTCACCGATCACAACCGCCAGCACTGTCTGTGCCAGCACGGGCGTCTGCGTGCGCGGCGACACGCGGGCCAGGAAGGGCGGCAGCAGCCAGTCCCGGCTGGCCGCCATGACGACGCGCGACACCGAGAAGAGGCCCACAATGAGTGCTGCCACTATGCCCAGCAGCGCCGCCACCGACGTCACGTACTGCATCCAATGCAGGCCTGCAGGGCAGCAGGCGGCGCGGCTGGCGCTCAAGCCGGGGGCAGCCAGGCCTGCAGGCGCGGGCTGCCGACAACCCCTGCCCCGCCTGGCCATGCAGCGCTGCCAACCTGCCAAGCCAGCTCCCCAGCCCCGCAGTTGTGCCCCGCTCTGCCGCGCATCTCACCCACTCCATCGAAGACTGTGATGAAGTTGACGCGGCCCAGGCCGGAGAAGAAGGACGGGTAGGGGCAGGAGATGTTGGGCGTGGTCATCAGCACCATGGCCAGCGCCAGCATGAAGTACAACAGCCCCGCGCCTGTGATGCTGCCCACGATGCCCCACGGGATGTGGTTCACGTTCTTCACCTGCACCCGGAAAAACGCAGGCCAGGCCGTGGAGGGGCGGCAGGAGAGCGTTAGCGAGTGTGCAGGCGGGCGGGGAGGTCCCTCAGTCGCACACTCCAACAGCAGCCATGCACATGCAGGCGCGCGACCCGTGCTTGCCCTGCCTCCTGCCCACCTCCTCTGCCGCCGTGCCCAGCGCGTCGAAGCCCACGTAGCAGAAGAAGAGGATGGAGGAGCCCAGGAAGACGCCGTCCTCCTCCCAGAGCGGGTTCAGGAAGGGCTCCATGTTGCTGGCGCTGCCCGCGGTGTACCCCACAATGGCCACCACCACCAGCAGCACCACCTTCACCACAGTCGTGTCTGCAGGGGCACGGCGGGGCGGGGCAGGCGGTGGCATGGCAGGCGTGCGAGTGCACGTGTGTGCTGGCGGTTGCCATGCACAGGGCAGCAGCAGCAGCAGCAGCAGCAGCAGAAGCGTGGGCGCGTGGTGCCGGGGCTGCGTTTGGCCCGCACAACGCACAGGTGGTGATGAGGGCGCTCTCCCGCATGCCTAGAGTCATCACAGCCGAGATGATCAGCACGATCGCAAGCGCCATGAGCTGCGGGTGGGGCGCATGGAACCGAATCGCGAGGCAGGCTGCTTGGAGAGGGAACGAGTGACGCAGCGTAGCAGACAGGCAGGCCCCGCCACGCTCCCCCAGGCAAGTGAAGCCAAGCCAAGCCAAGGCAGGGCAAGCCAGTTGCAGCCCCGGCCAGTCCTCACATCAAACTGCCCTCCCGCCACCGTCTCTGGGCCAACCCTGAAAAAGTCGGGTGGCTGGTTGCAGAGGCGGGCGAGGTAGGTTGAGAAGCCGCGCGCCACCAGCGCCATCCCCGCCACCTGCAGCACCCACCGCAGGGAAGGCGGCGTGGGGCCTGGGCATCTGGGTGCACACCAAGGCGGCGCTGCAGGATTGAAGGCAGCCACGCCTGCTGCCCATGCACAGCCCCCGCACACCGCCCAGGTCAGGTTGGCTCACATACTCCAGGATCAAGCTGGCCACCGTGACGAAGCCCGCAAACTCGCCAAAGGTGATCTGGAGGGGACCAGGGAGGGAGGGCAGGGCATGGGAGGAGGCATGCCCACGGGCGTGCAGCATGGCGCACACATGCATACCTGCTGCCGGCTCCAGCCAAGACGTGCCTGCCTGCTAGCGCCCCATCCCAGGCACCCCAGCCGGCCGCGGTTTGTAGCTCACCATCACGTATGAGAAGGAGCCCCCGGAGACGGGGAACTCCACGCAGAGCTCGGCGTAGCAGGCCCCAGAAATCAGCGCCGTGAGGCCGCCGATGATCACGCTGATGATGACCGCCGTACTGCGGCAGCAAGCAGGAGGAGCCCCAGGGAGGCATGTCGTGTCTTCAGGGTCCGTAGCGGCGAAGCCAAGGTGGCAGGGGGACGGGCAAGCGCGGGCCAGGCGCCTGCGGCAAGCAGTTGAGCACGGCGAGCGCAGCCGCAGCCCCACCCTGCATACACGCCCGCCGTGCCGGTGAACTGAGCCCATCCGCTGCCGATCAGGATGCCCAGGCCCAAGCAGAGGACGTCAAAGCCCCCAAAGGCCTTGCGCAGGCTGCCGCGCAGCATGGCCTGTATCCACAGCAGGGCGCGGCGGATGCGTGAGCTCGTGCAAGGCACAGGGGCAGCGGCGGCGGCGGCCGCGCGGCTGCCGCCCCACCTCTTGCAGCTGCTCCTCCAGAGTGCGTTTGCGGAATACCAAGCGTGGCAGGATGGTCGGCAGAGCTCGCAGAGCCGCAAAGTATTCTTTGACGAGCTTCATCGCGCCACCCGCCGCTCATGTAGAGGAACCGCTGTGCTATGTCATTTGAGGAATTCGGGGGGTTGCCTTGAAAAATGAACGGCGGTAAAAGCATCCTGCACCTGTGCAAGGCGCAGTGCCGAGTTGGCAGGTGAAACCCCATTCCTCTCCGTAGGCCTCTGCCCGCTGCCCAACGACTCATCAGAATGATGCTGGATCCATTGTCGATTGGACCCCGTTGCCAAGCCTGTGGCACCTGGGCGACCCGACCTTGGACTGCCGGCGGGCGCCGGCACATCCAGCAGCTGCAAGTTCCAGTAGTTTATTACATCCATCACTAAGCGGGATATAGGATCTGTTGAAAATAGGGTAGCAAGAGCGGACAGGATAGCAATGCTAGAGGAGGGGCAGCAGGTAGGGGCACGAAGGGGTACAAAAAGTGGACACATAAGTTTGTGCCGAGCAATAGCAGGCAATGCGACACATTGGGGCCCTTGCGAGCGAGAGGGTTGGATCGGGGATCTGGCATACGTTTGGAGCAAAAAAGGCTTGCGTTTGGTATTGCATGCATGCACGCGCTTATCATCAAAACCGATATACAAAGAGGGGGCGCGGCTGCCGGTGCTGGATGATGGAGGCATTCCTCCCTCGCCGGTCATGGGTCGGTGACAGGGCGGGCTGCTGTAGGCAGCCTGAGCAAGCGCAGGTGCCTCGCCAGCGCTCACTTCTTGCCGAACGGGCTGCCGTTGCTGCCGTTGCCGCCGCCGCTGCCCGGCCAGTGGAAGCGGTGCACTTTGCTCTCCGGCGGCGGCGGGCGGCCTATCGTGGTGTTGGGCCCCGAGCCGTTCACGTAAGGCACTGTGTGCTGGTGGGTGGTGCTGTGCCGCACGTAGCCCAGCCCGTGGCACAGCAGGCACACGCAGACGAGACGGTGGCGGCCGTGCGAGGTGTAGCTGCGCGCGGTGCCGGTGCCATCGCAGGCGGTGCAGCGTGCCTCCCAGACATGGATGGGCGTGTGGCAGCGCTCCACCTCGGGATTGCACTTGGCTTCCTGCGGGGGGGCGGGCAGGCGGGCAGGCAGCTCAGGGGCCGGCCTGCATTGCCTCAGAGGCAGCCTGCCAAGGCCATGGGAGACGCCGCGCACGGCACTTGAGAGCTGACCCACAGCCAGCCGCACCTCTGGCGTGAGCGTGCTGCCGTCGGGCGGCAGCTTGGGGAAGTTGGCATACAGCGAGCTGGGCAGATGCTGCACTCTGCCGTTGCCGTTGATGTGCTGCTGTGGCGGCGGCTGGTCATCGCTGCTGGCTTGCTGCGGGCGCCCGGGCGCTCCCGCCGCGGCGCTGCCTTCCTGCGGGCGATCAGCCCCCAAGTCGGGGCCTGCCGCGGCCTGAACCCGAGCTTCCCTTCGCCTGCCGCGGCCCGGGGCTGCGCTGCGGGGGCGGCAGCGGGCGATCTGCACGCCGGCGGCCGGTTGTGTCTGCAAGAGCGAGCGAGCACTCGTCATGCCTGCTCAGGGGCGTTACATAAGGTGTGTCAGGTGAAGGAGGACGCGTGAATGAGCGAGTTAGAGTGGACGCCGCCCCTTGCAGGAGGCCCCGTTCTGCTTGCACGTGCCATGCCCAGCAGGCTCAAATTTCTGTGGGGGACAGCAGGTATTACGAAGGCAGCCGGGTTCCTGGACGATCCTGGTGTCCTGCTGACGATTCCTGGTGTTACATTGCATTGCGGCAGCGCCACGCGCTGAAGAGCCGTGCAGTGCAGACCAACCGGAAGCAGCGGCGGAATGACAGCTAGTGCAGGAACAGAGGGAATGAACAGAGGGCGGTGTTGCAGGGAAACCACAGAGTGGGAGAGTGCAGGATGGGGCGCAGCGGTGCCGCAGCGGCTCCAGCGCGCGCGGGCTGGCTGCGGGTGCGGGGCCGCCCTCCGCCTCAGTGGCCCATGGGCTGGCCCTCGGTGATGAGCTGCACCAGCCTGCCGCCCCAGCCAAAGGTCTTGGGGGTCTCCTGCATGCACGCATCCTTCTCCTCCTGGCTCCACTCTGCCGCAATACCATTGATGGTGGCACGCACGGCATCCAGGCGCTCCTGCAACAGGAGGCAGGCCGGCAGGCAAGTTGGGGACGGCAGGCAGGCAGGATTGGCAAGCATAGGCAAGCAGGAGATGCATGGATGGCGCAGATTTGACTCCACTGACGCCCAGGCGGGCGAGACGGGGAAGCAGCAGCGAGCCGGCTGGCATGTCGCCACCAGCAGCCCGCCCACTCACCTTGACATCGCCCTCCCACTGATAGAACGCGCCGGTCCAGCCGTCCAGCACTGCGTTGCTCACGCTCTTGCCAATCATGCGGCCGCCGGCTGCAGACATGCACGCAGGAGCGGGTGAGTAGCCACCATGGCTGCTGGAGACCAGGCGCATCGCATTGTGCGGAGGGCAGCTCAGTGGAGCCTCCTAAACCTGCTAATCCACACACACACACACACACGCACGCACGCACACGCACACGCACACATGCCGCACCTGTGTGGGCAAAGTAGTGGTTGTAGTAGTGGCACAGGAAGGCGGGCGGGCTGCTGACCGCCAGTTCGCGCAGCAGCCTGCAGGCCGGCGGCAGGAGAGCAGGCGCGAGGGCAGCAGGATCCTCAGAAGGGCGCATACGCGCAGCAAGCCTCTGCGCTGCCTGCAAGCCCCCCCACCAGCCGTCGCATGGCATGAACGAGGCGCCACAGGGCATGCGCGGGCGCTCAAGCGCGGCTCCCCGGCCTGGCAGCGCCAGCGCACTTGGCATAGGTGTGGCCGGGGCCGTCCTCCGCAGCCACCGGCGCCTCCATGCCCCACTGCTGCTGCATGTACGCAATGTCCTTGGCCAGAGGCTCCGACCGCTCCAGGCCAGTGTTGGTCAGCTGCTTGTCTGCAGGGGGCGGGCGCGCGGGCCAGAGCGGGCGGCAACGGCACGGCGGTCGCATGCCAGCACGCCGGCGCTGCAGCCAGGCCGCCGACTGCAGCTGGGCCTAGGCATTCCCGCAGGCTCAGGCAGGGATGGCTTGTGGCATCCCCACAGCCAAGCGCGCGCAGCTGGGCCGGGGGCGGCTCACAGTAGGGGACGGCGGCCTGGTCGAGGATCTCCTCAAACGCCTCGTACACCACCTTGGACTCACCCATGAAGTGCAGAAAGCCGGGGCGCGTGGGCGCAAACTGCGGGCAGGCAGCAGGCGGCCGGGCCGGCCACATGGGCCCCTCAGCAGGCCACGGGCCACCCATGCCCAGGCGTTTCACGCGCTGCCGCAGTTTCGCAGCGGAGCGCGGCGATGGCGGCGATGAGTGCTGGCGAGAGCTGGAGAGCAGGCGCCGCGAGCAGATGATGCGGGGAGGCGGCAGCAGCCTTTCCAGGCACCACAACACAAGGGCGGATGCCAGTCGGGGGAAGTCCTGCACACCCACCCACCCACCGGCTTCTGATCTTTGGGCTCTGCTGCCTTGCCCTCCTTGGGCGCCTGCGCCTTGGTGTGCAGCTTCATCGAGTACTCCCTCAGCTCCTCCAGAAACGCTTCATATAGGCAGGGGCGGCGCTGGTTGGCTCAGGAAGCGGTTTGAACGGCGAGCAGGAGACGGCAGCGTGGTGCAGGCACAGCGGCGTGCAGCAGCCCAACACATGCCACACATCGAGCTGTAGCTTGAAGGCTGAAGGGGAGCAGGGCAGGGGGTGATGGACCGTGGCACTCGGCAAGAGCGGCAGGCCGGCGGCGGCAACCGGACTCACTCTGCTGCACGGCGCCTGCTGCTGCCCGCACGCTGAGCGACGGCCGGCGGCTGCTGGGCCTCCGCGCCGCGACGCAGCGAGCCCTGGCGGGCTGGACTGCATGGCTGACCGCCACTGCAGGTCGCCGAACCACTGCTGCCTGTGCTGCTGCCTGCATGGTTGGCTTACGCGGCACTGGCAATCGAGATCCGCTGCTGCAAGAACGTCTGGATGGGCAAGACGCCTGCGGAGTAGGTTGCTGGCTGGGCTCACAAACCCCAGGTAACTCAGCCACAAATCACTGGAAGAGGGCACGCAAAGGGAAGATCAATCGCCGAGGCCCAACACACTGGGCACCAACACACTGGGCGCCAAAGGCGAGCGGACGCACGCCAGTTGTCGTCGCGTCGGGCAGCCCACCGGGGTCGCCACGGCGGTGTGCCCAACACTGGTTACCATACCCCACAATTCAACCAACCTGCATAGCTCATCAAAAGTCTGTTCTACCTATCAGTAATGCAGGCCTCCAGCCTTGCTTAAGGCCAGGACACTGGATTCTACTCGTGACGGCTGGTGGCCACACGAAAGCGGTGGCGGCAGCGTTCGGGCTCCCCAGCCCACACAGCGACGCTCCCCCGCTGCATTCAGATGCGGTTAATGTGTCGCTGGGGTTCTCCAGAGGCCCGCAGCACACCTCTCCTTGCACACGACTCCATTGCCAGAACTCCTCGGCCATTGTTTGCGGCGCTCAGTCCTCTGCAACCCGGAAATTGCACTCTTTGGTGTTTGTTGTGGTGTGGGAGGGGCCGCAGCGCAGAACTGAGACTGCCAGAAGGGTTTGGGGTCGTGCTTGGGGGCGCTGCCCATGGGCGGTTGGAGGGCGTGCAGGGCCGGCCCGCGCCCTCCAACACTCTTCTGGGAAGGTTGAGAGTGATCAGGGACAGCGGGAGGGTCAAACGGCCCTGAATGTGAAAGTTGGTTCGGAAGCCTACATTAGTAATCATTACTAGCCTACAAAGCTTCATTCAGCACACAGACCGGCCGCCTCTTGCTCGAGGGCGGCCCACTTTGGCCTGGGCAACCCGGGCCGCCCTCCCCCCCCCCGGGCGCATGTTCGGTGTTGGAGGGGTGTGCCCAGCGATAGGGGGCCCCTGAAGGCATGCGCCGAGGCCGGGAAGCGTGGTTCGGCGCTGCTGCACGCTTGGCGATTTGAACAGAACCACGTGCCGCCGAGCTGCGGCCGCAGTTTCCGGCCCACGGTCTACGGTCGCAAGCCACGGGACTCGGCGGCACGGCGTTTGGGCCCAAGCTTGCTGCCGCCGCCGCCGCCGTGCCCGGGGGGCAGCGCGGCGGCGGCGGCACGCTGCGACGCCCCCGTGCTGCCGAGCTGCGGCCGTAGTTTCCTGCCAGAAGGCCACAGCCACGGGACTCGGCGGCACGGCGTTTCGGTCCACGGCTTGCTGCCGCCGCCGTCGCAGGGGTGCTGCCTGCGGCGGCGGCGGCACGGCGTTTGGGTCCACGGCTTGCTGCCGCTGCCGCCGCCGCAGGGGTGCTGCCTGCGGCGGCGGCGGTAGCGCACGTGGCAACCCCCCGCGTTTCCTTGCCTCCCATCCACCGGACCCCGTCCTGCGCTTCACTTTGTTTAGGGAGGGGCTGCTCACTGCTCATTGCTCATTGCTCATCGCACACTGGCTCAACGCTCATTGGCCTATATCCCACCCA